ATGATCGCAAAGTTGTTCTTCCAATCGATCACCATAGTTGCATTTTAACGCCTGTTTGTTCAACTAAAGAATGAATTCACGGCACGGCATGTTGCCAGCTCTAATCATTGAGTTGAATTTGGCCCGTTCAGTGGCCTGAAAATCCGCTGGGAGAATGTGATCCAGCAAAAGGGATTTCAACTTCTCGAACGGTAATTCAGTAGGAACATTCGGGAACGCTAGATTCTTTATCAGGGAATACAGCTCTCGNCGTCAAAAATAGGACCGATTGATTTTGCATTCCTCCTTTCCGGATGCTGCTCCATAATTCGAAAAGTTCTACCCACTCTTCGATTTCCGATGGGCTTCCGCGGAGGTTCAATGGTTCAATGGCAGGAATCTCCATTGCGCGGTGCCAAATTGTGATAATCGGAATAGTAATGAATGTAGAAATGTTGAAATACGAGAACCCACAATGTACTGCTCAGAACTGGATTGGCTCCAACCCGAACTGCGGACACCAATGAAACACACGAGGAATTGCCAGCAGCAAATGCTTATTTTTTGATTCTGTTAGTATGATCTCACTCTTTTGTGGCTTCTGTGGCGCAAATCACATAGCTAGCACAGTGGAACTTCTGTTCAAACTTGTTGAAGACCATCATTAGAAATGTCTGTGGATGTTGCATGGTAAAAGAAGGATGATGATACGCTACATATACAAACAAATAAGGGGAATTCAGCAAAGATTTTATTTCAGGGTCCCAATGACTTCGATCTGCGCACTTCAACCGTTGATCCAACTGCTTTGGCCGGGTGTGAAACGAAAAACGTTTATGTGGACACGGATAACGGTGCGCTATCTATCGACCTCAGATGTCAACACCCTCCTACTCTACATGCCACCGCCGCCGCCAACCGTTCCGAAATCTCTGTGTTATGGTTGCCCTTTGATCGACCGCTTACACACTCCTGAAAATTGTTTACATAATATATTCAGTACAAGGAATTAAAAAGAAACTAAATAATCGGTGTGGGAATAATTGGTGGCTGGTTACGAATGGTTCAAGTTAAGGATTCTCACGAAGATAAGGAACGTACAAGTACGACCTGAATCTATATAGTTCTGTACACCCCTAATGGAATGGCATCTAATGACGTGAAATGTACGTTACTTGCCCGTAATAATCTGGTTATAACTTCCCGACAAGGTCGAACTTTGACAGCACGTAAAACTTGGCCATTGTAGAAATTCACAGTGTATTACTGCTAGTGTTTGTGTACAAAAAGTGTAATGCAGTTACTCTGTGCGATGGAAGGATACTCACTCCGAGGCACAGTCAGTAACAACAATGGCCGAGGGAAGTATGCCAGTGAATGCGCTTGATAGCAATCAATCAGAGAACAGTTATGTTTGGAACTCGGGGTTCACGCTTTCCGTCCGGACTCTGCTACCAATATCATCTGAGAGTATTTACTTCGCGCGATTTCGGTTAACGTAGGAAGGGCGAAATGGCGCAAGCATTTCAAAGATTTAATCTCCCTTTGTAAAAGCCACCTCAATGAATAGGTGTACTTGAAACAATAAGTCCATAAAAATTGACTGCCATAGCAACCGTATGGTCAAAACCCCTCATCCTCGAGATAATCATACTACTCGGAAACTACTCATATCGTTCAGGCCTTTCTCGTCGGTCACAGAAGCAAAACGTATTGCCTTTTCGGGGAATAATTTCAGCGGTCATTAGCAAATGAAATTTGTGTTAGTGCACTCGCCTCTACGATCTTCACATAAACTATTCACGTCTAGTCAATTCCGATAAAGCATCCAAAAATCGCAATCCATCTATAAAGTTCAAATTTAGTTGACTCTGCAACGACTGGGCGAAGTATTCCGGAGCCCAGTGACGTAGTTGGCTCATTTGTTCAAGCACCACTCCATCGATTTCTCCAATAAATTTTGACAGCGCTTTTTTTAAACCCTTTTGGTCGAGCCATTGTGTCACTTGAACATTGGTCCATTCACGTAGGTGAATTTTATTCAAATCAGGATCAGGTTTCACATCCATAACAAGAGTCGGACTGGCCTCAAATGGAATTTGAGATGAAGATTTTCCGAGTGAACGACCCCAATAACATTTCTCACTTGGCGGTGAATTGATTGAAACAGTTCCACTAGGGAAGGTTTGCAAAGTTCGCATCATAGGTTCCTTGCGGTCCAGTGGTCGAAAATCATGATATTCAATTACCTCCGGTTTGGATTCATGGGATTGACTAACATCTTTTAACATGTGCTCATCTTCAGTAACAATTGGTGTCGTTGATCTGATAAGCATATCAGTAATTTGAGTTACTAACTCGCTAGTTGAATTACCCACGGTCTCCATCGCTGCATTTAGCATGGGACTGTTAGAATCTGTCTTGGGTTCTACATGATATTCTAGTTTATTCTGTTGACAAGATGATTGTTCCATTTCTTTTTTTCCGTTTTTATCACTAGTCAGATTCATTTTCGCATACTCATATTTCACGCTTACCAAATTTTCACGTGGGACAACCGATACCGATACTCCTTGTGTCTTTTTGCATGATGTTTGTGATATCTGCCCAGAGGCTTGACTGCTTTGCAAAATATCCCTCTTTGAGGAAGTCTCAAATGAGACCTTTCCGATTGATTGTGCTAACAGTCCACTTTCTGCACACTCTGCAGTCGGATGTGTGGAAGCCAGAAGCGGTTCTCTGCTTCCTTTGGGCACACTAGATACAACATGGTTTAGATTACATGTGGGTTTACTTTTTTCATCGCTGTTTGATAGTTGTACATTCTCCGTTTTTCCCTCGTTCAGTTTCATGGTTTCATGGTTTGCTGTATTATCCGGTCTGGCAGAATTGTGCAAAGAAACGCCCTGATCTCTCCTCATTAGGTTATCATTCCTGAGTTGGTAATTTATTCTTTGTTCATCTTCAGTTGTCTTCAAATTTTCCAATGAAAAATCTGCTTTGTAATGAGGACTTGTTTCAGTCTCCCTCGTGCCTTGCTTTGTAAGATCTCCGTCTATTTTGTCTGTGTTATTTTCCAAAATGAATTGCGGACTCTGAAGCGTCGGTAGACGCGACCTTTCCACCGATTTCGGAGCACATTCAAAATCATTATCTTCGCCGAACTTTAAATCGAATTGTAAGGGAATAGAAGGGTCTTGGTCAACTGTTATTTCTTGTTTTTCCGAAATAAGTTCTTCTGAACTGTTCTTACCTGTCTGTTTTGCCCTGTCCTGCACGCAGTGCCGTGAACCCCCTTTGGACCGCATTGAATCATTTTTCTGACACAAGGAGATACTTTCCGTCGGCTCGCTTACTGAAGATGACGATGTGAAAAACAAAGTCGAAGATCTCAGTTCAGACACGTATCGTTCTTTTGTTGAAGCTTGTGTATTGTCGGTTTCATGAAAAACAGGTTCCTCAGTATCTAATCCAAATATTTCTCCCGTGTTTCTATGTAGCTGCTTTAGTGCTGTGATGAATGTTCTGCGATGTGTGAAATCTATGTATTGGTCTACTCCTGGCAGATCCACTAACCAACCATTGAGAGTAAATCGGGGTGGCAGAAGGATATAAATCAAGTACTTTGGGTTGGACTCCTCGTTCGATTCAATGAAGTACTCAATTTCAGTTCGACATCCTGGGTTGAGACGATATGCTTCTGATATGCATACTATCATGACCGAAGCTTTTTGCAAACATAACAACCAATCCTTTGTGTACCCAAATGAAACACCCAGTCCAGTTAATCCAGCCAGATAAGCCAAATTGTCATTGTTCGCCAGATCTTTGTTAACTTGATTCAACACGGGTAAACCGCCTGATTGCAATTGCTCCATAAAATATGCTGCTGCAAGTTGGTTTTCTGGTGAATAGCTCACAACAACAGGACCACACTTTCCACGTTCCGGTATTGGGTGGTTTGTATATGGAACTCCTTTTGAGGACTGTTCATCTTTCCATAAAATTTGCTCGATTACTCGAGCAAGTAGTGGATCTGGATTCTCTTTGATTGCTGCACATTGTGACAAGACCAGAATACATTTCACACAATGTCGAACCCCGGGATCAGTTTTCGCTTGAGGTAAATGTAACAGATGGTAGATTATCCTCAGAACTATGATCGCTTCCTGGTAATACGCACTTATATTCTTTGTGTCTAACATCTTGGAAAGAAACATCAACAGACCTTCGGATAATTTGGGCAGTTCTTTTGACTTGTTTCTTAGATTCAGTATCTTTGCTGACAGCATCCGCACTTTAACGGTCTCATTGGCACAAAACGTTGCCAATGCCATTAGGTATTCAGACAGAGGGAAACCGTGATTCCGTTTTCGTGTGGATGCGTTGGCGTGTTGAATCTGACTAACCAGGACATTAAACATATTTGTGCTTCCACACTCGACAGCGAGAGCTTCATCAATGTATGGGTCATAAAGTGTATAGGCCAAGCACAGTGTGGCTAAACATCGTAGAGTTTCTTCTTCCTGAAAAGCCAACAGTTTCAGCAATGCTTCACGTCCAATCGAGTTAACAGATAGTTCTCCGTTCCCGGGGACTTTGCACATATTGAAAATGATAGACAGACTTGCCTTGATGAGAAAATAAACATTTTTGCTTCCGATATTTTCCAAGTATGGTTGATGACCAATATTCAGATTTAGCAGACGCGCAATCCTTGAGGCGGCCAAGGCAGTGGCGAATTCATCACTGATTTCCGAGTAATTCCAAGCAATACTATAGAAGTAAAATGAAGAAAACCAAATCTCATCGTCTTTAAACGTCCCCATATTATTTAAACGCTTTATGAATTTAGTCAACATTGACGGAAAATTCTGATCCACTAAAAAGTGAGCTATGTGAATTCGGTGTTCCGAGCAACTGAAATAAGTCCGATTTAATTGTTTCGCCGCACGATATATAGTTTTTAGGTTGGACATGTCTTCAAATTTAGCAAGTAGTTGCAACATTTCTTCAATTAAACAACAGGCCTGTTCGAAACTTAATTCGCTCGGACATATGGGCACACCAACTTCACCATCACAATCGACTTCTGTTGAATCGGAGTGTTCTTGTGGCTTATCGGAGCTCAACTCCACCATAACTGAATCCGGATAAATATTTCAGTGCTTCAGCATGTAAGATGTGTTCAGTCGCACGTAGGTTGAATATCTGTGGAAAATAGGAAAATGCTTATGTTTATGCGATTCAAGAGGAAGCATTTTATTCTGAGCAAAAGTCTGTGAATCTTAGTTTTATGACTGTGATTTGCTTTGGGTAATTTCGCAATCCTGAGGATAAAAAGAATGATCTAGACTGGTATTCACTGTCGTGATAAATTTCCTAATCTAGGAGGTGATTCTGTTAGCTGGGTCTGAACGATGGCTCATTTTTCTTCGTGGTGCACATTAACCTCTGACGCGCATTTAGTATCACTGACTTCAATGGTTGTTATTCCTCGTTCTCCAAACACCGATCAAAAAGTTGGCGATTTATTGTAAACAGTGAGTGAGTCACCTAGCGTCCCTTCTTTTGACCAAACATTAACCAACCAGTTCCAGAGTTGATCTCACTTCGCTGAGTGAGGTAAACAATCTTTCTCTCTTACTGTGCATTGATCAAGAACCTTCAGTAAAATTAGTGCAGTGAATTGCGAATGTTCTGGCTAATCTTTGTTGCATTAATTAGACCAATGATACACGCGCTGCAACGCTGTTGATACCGATTTTAATAATCGATGGAGATAAAAAACTAATTGAAAGTACTGGAAAATGAATTAAAGATGTTAGGCGAAAACCTCTTGAAGATTGCTTATAATACAACATTGATCCACGAACATATTTGTTAGCTTTACCCCAGAAGTCAAATTATCCATTTTTTCCAAGAGGTTGATCTTTATTTACCTTTTGTAATCAGTGGATATCGACCATCTTAATGCAGCTTGTAGTTATCCTCCTAATAACAATTTAGTCACCAATATTCCGTTTGTGAATTCCGAGTTTGAAGAATCTTCTTTTAAAACTAAGGCCTTCATCTCCCAAGGTTCATAAACTTTTTCTAACTCGCAAAGAATGATTTTTTATCTTTCGATCACTTCCCACATTACGTTAATTTTCTCCAAATGTAAAATCCCTTCGTCGGTGTGAGCTGCATCAAAGTATATCATTCTAAAGTTTCAGGATCCCATTCGGAAAACCATCTCTTTCTCTCTCCATTATCGAGTTCTTTCTTTCACTTCCAAATCAAACCGGATGCCTGATCTGAGCTTTTCAAGAACATTTTGGTGTTGATTTCGCTTCAAGCTGTTCTCCAAGTCTATCTGCAATAAACACCCGTGTTTCGTCTGTTAGAAGGGAGTGAGTAGTCCGAAGAAATTCTTTCATGGCACTTCATGTAAGTCACCACTTATGTAAGTCGCATGTACAGAATGTCAAGAAATCAGTGAATTTCTAAAGCAAACCACTCTTCTCTTTTGCACCTCTTACCGTTAGTATGATGGATGCGTTTGGATTCGTGATCGGAGGGAAATTACAGTAACGGCCTCCCGGTACTGCGCAGGATTTCTAGTGCAAACCTTAACGCTTGTTCCCGGGATACAAAAGTCTAGCAACTGCGATTATTTGCTGCATAAAGTATTGAAAGTATTTTCGTAAAGGACTTAACGTTCAGTTTCATCTACTTCACCAAGTATAGGGTACATATCTTGGCTACTTAGTTTACCTTGCTTAACGATCTTTTGTAAGTAGTTTCTTTCCATGAATATATATATAGAGAGAGAGAGAGGGAGGGAGGGAGATCACTTGTCTGAGAGTAGACTGTGTTCCAAGCAACTCATAGTACAATAACATTTATAAAAAAAAAAGAAACGTTCCACGATTGGCATGTGGGGTGAATACTGCCAGGTTACCCAGGCCAAGGTAGGAATCCACAACCGGAGCCAAAGCCTAACCCGCAAGGCAGCGAGGCGGTGTGAAAACGACAGTTCATTGGGGGCCGGTGTCCAGTTCATCGGATCACACGCCCTTTGGACGGGGTTAAATGTCCAAGGTGCCCAATACACCCCAATGCTTAATCGAGCCGGCGACCACTGCCACAACCGAAAAGATGTGGGTGTAGTTCGTAAACCTCCTCTTGGTTGGTTTGGAATCAGGGTTTTTGGCCAATTCCCCTAGGTGAACTACCCACTGGTCCACCAACCCGGGATGTTGGTTTTTCGTCCCCTCACTGTGGTAGGAAAATACTTCCGCCACGAGAAGGCAATGAGTAAGGCTTCCTCAGCAGAGGCTATTTGAGACGCTTGGTCGTATGGGAGCATTTCGCGAGGTGCGAGGGAAGGGTGACCAGCCGCAACTCTAGACACCCACTCCCGACCATGCTGAGGCTTTCGGAGGCCCTATTTCATGCATGAAATATATCATGTGACAAATAAACCATCCATCCTGGTTAATTTTTTATAGTTTATATTAGTCATGCTCTTTTCATGGTTGCTTGACATGCTGTACCTGACTAATCTTGGGTGCCCGTTTGAGAAAACCTCTTTCTCATCTGTCTAATTCTCCCACACTCCGAAATAACACAAGATATTTCCTGTTCCTGGCTCTCATGGTCTACCGCTCATCGATTAATCAGTAGGGTGTAAATCAGAAGCTAATGGAAGGATGAAACCATAAGCTCCTCTTCACTGAACTGCATTCCATATCTGCATACAAGCTATCTTATCTGGAACTCTTGAAACTTCCCATTTAGGCACAGTACAACGTGTCTGTAAAACACGCATGCAAAACCTTACTTCAATTATAACTCGACATTCTTCAGCCCCAACCTCATTTTCAAGCTTCACTAACCGTATGCCAGGCAATTTTGAATCTAACTCTCGCTATGTTGTCGACGCCAGCCTGGAGTCAATTTTTAGGTCCAGACGATCGTCTCTTCACTGGAGTCCAGTCAGTATCCGAATGCGCACTATAGATCTCAATGGTTCAGTACAGGTCAACGCCTACAGAACGAAGCGTCTGTGCTTATTCGTCTTGTCGGTATATGCACCGACTGATCTCAGTGCACTTGAAAGATAGGATGATTTCTACGATA